ATTCACCTTTTTTATTATATTTTATCTTTATTTTAATAAAAATAAAATAAAGTACTTTAATCTAATTTTTTATCACTTAATTTATCACTATTTTTATCACTATTTTTTTCACTATTTTTTTCATTATTTTTTTCACTATTTTTTTATTTTTCCAACTATATTTTTCACTATTTTACCTAATATATTTTTCACTATTTTTTTCAGTAAGAATCAAAATATCGCTTTAAATAGAAAAATTTATTTATTTCTTTATTGAACTTTTTTTCTAATAATCGTATTAATCTGGAATATTATTAGTCTTAATAAATTATATTAATTAACTAATTTTTGTTCTAATTTCATTTATTCCTTTTATTTATACAGTATCTACTTTCTTTTATTTATTTTTTAACTTCAAATAGTTATTTTCATTAGAAACATCCTACATAGATAAAACTATATACTATTCATCTAAATTTACAATGCCAGAATTTATTTTAAAAATTTTATCAGTTTTTTCATTATCTTTATATAAATTAGCGTATAAGATATCATAAGAAGTTTCTTCTTTGCCATAAATAGAAGTATTTTCATCATATTTATTAGACATTAGTTTTTTCTTATTTAAATTAGTATTCGTATGCTTTATTAATAAATATTCTTTAAGAGAATTTTTATGTTTTTCTAATTAAATATTGCTTATCTTTGAATTTTTTGTATCTATTTTTAAATTTGAAAGAAATTAATTAAAAAATTCATGTTTTAAGTGAATTCCATATTTTCTTGCCTAATAATTAGACTCTTTATTATGAAAAAAATAAAAATATTTTTATAGTATATATATATTTTTTAAAAAATACCTTTTAAAAAATTTAACCAGATTTATTTTCATATTTTGTAATAATTAAATTATTTTAGAAAAGTTTATCGATATTATAATACCATTATTTTATAAATGTTTATTAAAAATATGATATTCTTTCTGATTTATTCTATAAATATTTAAAAAATATCACAATGAATAAAATTAATATACTATCAATAATTAAACAATATTCCAGTTAAAAAAAAACTATTATTAATGTCTAACTAATAATTACTGAAATACTATCTAAAATAAAAGATTAACTGTTTGAAAGATATAAGCAAATAATTCTCTATATTATTTATATTAAAGATTATATATATAAAAATATATATAAAATATATAAATTTATATATTATTATAGAATATATTTATATATATTTATATATATTTATATATATTTTTATATATTTATATATATTTATATATATTTATATATGTATTTATATTAATTTTTTATAATTGTATATTAATATTTTAAATATATAATAAATTTTTTATCATTTTTTCCAGCCGTATCTTTTTTTATTTTTATTAATAAATATAATATTTTATAAAAATTAGAATACTGCTTTTGTTTTTATTTAGTTTTATAAAATAATTTATTTTAAATCAAATAATTTTGCAGTTTTATATATTTTATAAATTTAATTTTTTATACTTTACCTAAGCATTAATAAATTTACTAGTTTATGTAATATTATCTTAGTTTTCAAAAAAGTAAAGTAAATAAGATGTTGTAGATCCAATAATAATTATTAAATTAGAATATTTCAAAGTTTATTTTCTAAAGAAAGTATATAACATTATTAAAAAATAGGCGAAAATAAAAATCAATATAATTAAACTAAAACCTTTCTCAAATATTATAAATGATGAATATCCTAAATTGTACAAAAAAATTATTTAATGAAATAGGAATTTCTTTTTTAAAAAAAATTAATTTATATATTTTTTTTTTTTATATACTATTAAAATTTTTTATAAATATATATTTACTTTATTAACATCTATTACTTCATAAGATTATTCAACTTATTTATTTTTAAATTATAATGTGTATTTATTTATACAATTTTAATTCATTTATTTTATATTTTATTTTAATATTAATAAACAAACCTTTTTCTGTATTAAATAATTTTTTAAAATATTGATTATATATTATATGAATAAATTTAACTTTTTTTTTTTATTTATTAATATTTTTTTTATTTAAGAAACTATATTAGATTAAAATAAATATAATTAAAAGATACAAAGTAATAAGTAAAACAGATTAATATAATAGTAAATAAAAAAAAAAAGACAAAAATAAATAATATATATAAATTATTAAATAAAGTGTATTAAGTCTATTTAAAAAAGTGCTTAAAGCATAGAAAGTTTATAAACAATATATATAAATATATTTTAATTTAAATTTTTTATTTTTTAATTATATAAAATTATAAAAATATTATAAGTTAATATAAAAAATAATATTTAAAAATAAAAACTTTTAGATTTATAATATAAATATAGTATTATAATTTTATATTTTTTAATAAAGTAATATTATTAATTAAAGTAAAGTTTCATTTTTTTAAAAAAAATCTATTCCATTTTATTGATACTAAATAAATATTTTTTTTAAAAAAATTTACATATATAAGACTATTAAAATTAAAATTATATTTTATTAATTTTTTTATATAAAGGCCAATCAATATTTTTTATTATTTATTTATAATAAAAATAAAAAATAATTTTTTTTTAATTAAAATTGCATTTATTATATTTAAATTAAAAAAGCAGTTGTTATTATTTTATGTCTCAGTAAAATATTGATACGTTTATAAAAATTGTTTTTATTTATTTTAATTAATTATTGTAAAATATATAATACATTAATAACATTTGAATATATGATTAAACATTAAAAAAAAATTCAGATTTTTTTTTTTTCTAATTTAAATATTATTTTTTTTGAATAAAAATAAAATTTCACTAAAATAAATGACTACTACTAATAATAAAAAATTCTACAGTTGAAGGTTATATTAAAAAATAAATATAAAAATCTAGAATCTAGAAACAAGAAACTAGAAACTATAATAAAATAAATATTATATAATAATTACTAAATACTGTAAAAATAATAGAAGAATATACAAAAGATTAAGAAGTTAAAAGCAGATATATAAAAGGAAGATTTTTATGGCAAAGTATATCTAAATATATCAAACATAGAAATTTAATATAAAATTTAATAATAATAAAAAAAGGGAAGATTCGCAAAATGTTAAGAATTTATACATGTTTACACAAAAAAGAAAAATAGCGGCAAAAGTAATAATATAAAAGTCGCTTATAAGAATAAGCTAAAAATCTCATTTCAAAGATTCTTGTAACTTAACCTTCAAAAAGACTCTTCTTAGATGAAACATATAATCATAATTTTTTAAAAATCTACTCCAATATACCTATTTTATTACCATTGAGTATCCTTGCATATTCCCTTTCGTCTTCTTATATTAATTAATTTACATAAAATTAAATTAGAGTAAGTAATTATCCTAAATAAAAATAATTCAATAATACTGATCCTGTTCTAAAAGGTTAAAACTCAACAGGAAATCCTATATTTCGAACTTATAATTTTATATAATATTTAAAATTTATTAAAGTAATAATATAAAAATAATATTTATGTTTCTTTATCACAAGAAAAAATATAGAACGAAAATCGAAATCGAAACCTAAATTGTATAAGTAATTTAAAAAAATAGAAAGTAAATAAAACCGCACAAAATCAGATAAAACATATTTTTAGGAAAAAAATATTAATCTTTAAGAAAAATTAGTCAATTTTAAAGAAAAAAACACTAACTTTTAAGAATTTTAAGAAAATAATAATAAATATACTAATTTTTGAGAAAATTCAATTTTTTATTAAATAAAAATAATTTATACAAAATATAAATAAATAGGAAGTTTTGGTCAAAAAATATGTTGATTATTCATCAAAATAAGGACTTGTATATATATTATCATCTGGATTATATGGCTTATTTTATAACGATTCAACAAAAATATAATTTAACAAGAATTAAAATATATTCTAATATATAGAAAAAAGAATAGAAGATAAATATGACATAAAAAACTTAACAAAATAAAAAATATCAAAAAGAAGTTAAGAAAGTAATTTTATAAATTCATTTATAAATCTATTTATAATAATACAATAATTTGACAGAAAAAACATGCAAATTAAAAAATAATTCAATTGTTGTAAAAAAATGTATTAAAACAAAAAATGCAATATAATATATAGATTTTCAAATAAGGTAATATAAGTTGTTTTCAAAGATTAATGGGAAATAATTTAAAGTTCAAAATAAAAATATATAAATAAAAATAAAAATAAAAAAGCTATTTAAAAAAAAAAAATGCTTAGAAACATAAAATATAAAATTACAAATAGAATAATACATACAAAATATATTATTAAAAACATATTGAGAAATAAAATATATAATCCTAATAAAAATTAGAAAATAATAATAGCAATAATAATAATAATAATAATAATAATAATAATAATAATAATAATAATAATAATAATAATAAAATTTAATTATTAATGTATTCATGACTAATAATAAATTAAAATTAATGATAATGTTAATGATAATAAAAGCTATCTTCATTAATCTAAAATCTCGTTATAATATTATTCCAAAATACTAATATTAAATACTAATTAGATTATTTATAATACTAATGTAGATATTAAAATGAAAATATTTGCTATTTGCTTAAAAGTAAGAAAAATGATAATGCATATTTATAAAATTAATTTAAAATGTATAATTAAATAATCTTATTATAATTTAATTAAAATAAACAATAATTAATAAGAAAATATACATATTAAATATATATATATATATATATAATTTATATATTGTTTTTTTATTTATTATTTTAATATATATAAATAATTAATTTTTTATAAAAAAAACATTATATTTTTTTTAAAAAATATACTTAAATATATAAATACATAAAATTTTTTTATTTCTTTCAAATAATTAATTTTTATATATATAAAAAATATTAAAAAGCAATATTTATATAAATTTTATTTCAAAAAAATATAAATTATTAATCATTCTGATAAATAAACAATTTTGCTTTTAGTAGCAATTTTTTCCAGAGTATTTAAATATCTAATTTACATCGCAGCTTTTGAATCCATATAATCAGCTGCTAATCTTTATTGTTTTGCAGATTCTACATCTACTTTTGCGTTTAGAATTTTTGCTTTCGCTAATCTTCTTTCTTTAGTCGCTACTTCTAATTAACTAGCTAAATTTTATTCCATAGTAATATCTTTAATAATAATTTATTCAATTTCTATTCCCCATTCTTCTACATGCATATATACAAAATCTTCAACTTACTCTTACATTTACCTTCTATTATCTAATAATTACTAAAAACTGAAATGTCCCACAATACTTCTTAAAGAACTAATACATATTTCCGAAACCGAAGTTTTTATATCAAAAATCGAATAATGTGCCTATCTACAATCATTAATTTTATAATAAACAACCCCATCAATAACAATCATGATATTATCTTTAGTAATAGCCCATTATTTTGACAAATCAATGGTCTAAGTCCTTACATCCATCACAATTAAGTTATCAGTACATGGATTTACAAAATGATAGCCTTCTTCTACTGTTTTTACATACTTCCCAAATCTCTCAAATATGGCTTTATTTGACTTTTATACTGTCTAAAATGGATTACTACAGCAAGGACACCATTAACCAAAAAAGCCTAAACATTTTCCCAAACTAAATAATATAGATTAATATCCACCTTCTATGTCTAGATTTCGGGCGTTTTCTTGTGGAATCAAACGTTAGTGTTTTACATCTTTTACTTTTATTTATTTTTAACGGAGACGCTTTTGGATATTATGTTAATTTTATTAATTCATTTAAGTAGGAAACTTTTATTAATTTATTTAGATATATTAACTATTATCGATAGGAGATTATGTTTATAAAGGAATTATTTGGGATGGTTGCATATTATTATTGCTTTTTTCTTTTAAATTAATGTTGAGAAATTATGAAACTATAATTTTTTGTTATTTTTTTTAATTATATATAAATATTTAAATTATATATATTTTTTTATTTTATTATATGATGCATTATATAGTTGATTATTATAATGCCTCTTTTATTTTAATTTTTCTTATTTAAAAAGGATATATAATCTGATATAATAAATTAAAATAAATATAAATTATATTAAAAAAAATAAAATATGTAAATAAATTATATTTAAAAAAAATTGGAACAAATATAAATTTAAAAGATATAATAATAATAAAATTTATATTTATATTAATATATAATTTGAAGTAAAAGATAAAATTAAAATATATTTTATTTATAAATTTTAGTTTTACTTATTATTGTTTAATATTACTTATATATTTATTATATAAATAATTTCTTATTAAATTATATTTTTTTATTAGTTTTTAAATTATAATATCATTTTTAATCTGAATATTTTTTATGAATTAATGTTAAATATTTGAATGTATTACTTTTAAAATGTAAAAATAAAATAATAAAATAAAAATATGAAGGAGAGTTATTTTAATTAATAAAGAGTAAATATTTTTTATAATTTATATATATATATTTTTTTTTTCTTATGAATGATAAAATAAAAATTGAAAAATATAATGTATTTATATAATTTATTTAAGTTATTTTTTTTTTTATATATATTAATTTAATTTCGTTATAAATTAATATTATGAAAAAAGCATTATATAATGCTTTTATATAAAATTAAAATAAAATTATATTTATAATAAAAATATTTTATTTTATTTTTAAATTAAAAAATTATTATAATTAAATAATAAAAATACTATTAATATTTTTATTTTTATTTCTAATATACAAAATAAATAATATAAGTATGTATATATATAAAAAAATATGAATATATATATAAACAAAACAAAAATATATTATAAAAAATTATAATAGAAATAATTATATATATGTTATATATTAATATATTTATTATATTTAATAATTTATTCACTATATAAATAAAATTATATAACTTCAATATATTAAAATTATATATTCTTATTTCAGTATTTTTAAAAAAGAAATAATTTATGATATAATCCTATATTATAATTTAAATTTCTTTAAAAATTATTACTAATAGAATAATATTATAATTAAAAGCATTAATATTCTTACATTTAATTTATTTTTAGTATTAATAGAAAAAAGTATTTTCAATAAAGATTATCGAATATAAATAAGCCCTTATATTAAAGAGTATTATTATATATCGTCTATTTTTATTCATTTATATTAGTTTTTATAATTAGAATTATTTTGTTTTTTCTTTAAATAACTTTAATTTAAAATAATGCGGTTTTTTAAAACTTTAATGCTTTTTTTTATTATTTTTTGTTTCCATTTATTTTTCCTTTATTCCCAAATCTAAAATTCCTATTTAAAAACATTTCCTTAAAAATCTAAAATAGAATACCGCTTTAAAAACAAAGGACTCTAAATAAAATAAAAGTTCTAAATTCCTCCTAAAAAATAGAAACAAAAATAATTTATTTTATAATATTCCTTTTAATAATATATTTTTTTTTTTTTTTCGAAATTTAATAAAAAATAATTTCTTCATTTTATTTTATGTTATACTATTAATTTATTCTCTATCTATATGAAATTATTCTTTATTTTTTATTCTTTTTAAAAAATCCCATTATAATATTCAAATAAGTAATTCTGAATTATTAATTAATATATTTTAAAAACTATGGCCGAGAAGTTCAAAATAGTATTTTCAAACATATTAAAAGGCATTCATTGTCCTTATATTTTAATTAAATAATATAGTCTATAAAATAAACTGCTAGCACATAACTTTAAATTTAATTATTGATAACATTATACGCAGAATTTTCATTTACTTATTAAAATAATTACACTCATTAATGTTTTTAGGCACTAAATTTACCTTTTGTCTTATTGTCTTTTTCAGATAAATTAAAAGTAAAATAACTTCTTATGTAGTAATTAATAAAAATACTTTTATACTCCTCCTCCCCCCCCCTCCTCCTCCTCTTTTACTTAAAAATGGTTTATTAGAAATTAAACTAAATTTATTTTTTTACCAAGTAATTTTAATTAATAATCACTTTTTAATTAATTGAATTTTTTTCTCCAAACCTCAATAGTATAAATTTCTTAATTTGTAAAATGAATAGTATTTAGAAATATAAGCCTATTATTACAAACGAAAATATTTAAGGAAAATCAAATTTTTCTCAGGACATTAAACTAAAATTTATTTAACTGAAAACATTGGTATTTTTAAGTGGGGTTATAAATATATTAAAAAATTAAATATTTAAAAAGATAAAATATTCTTCCTTTCAAAACATATTTTATGCTTTTATTAAATCTAAGAGTGTGCAAAAAATATCAATATTTATTATAAAAAATATTAATTTTTATTATAAAAAATATAAAATTTATAATTAGTATTTGTAATTAATAAAAATTAATTAAATAGTAGTTTTTAGTATATTTAAATTTGCTTTTTATTTAAATATAAAATAATAAATTCATTTATATTATCTATTTAAAAAATACAAAAAAATATATATATATATTTTTTTTTTCTTATAATATAGAAAGACTTTATGATTTAAAAAAAAAAAAATATATAAAATATGACTATTATATAATAATAAATATAAGTATAGCTATAACAATAGAAAAATAGATTAAATTAAAAATTTAATTTTTATTTAGAGTGATTATAGTTTTTTTTCTCATATTAATAAATAATATTAATTATTTGAGATTACTATTTGATATTTAAAAATTAATTCTGAAAAAGAGTTTTAAATTTCAAAAAAAATAATATTGGTTTTTTTAAATAAAAAATTAAATTTATTTATAATTTTTTATAAATAAATATTTATTAATAGTTTTTTTAAAATTATTGATTATTACAAAATAATAAATTTAATTTATTAAAAAAAAAAAAAATCTAATATATTATGTATTAAATATTAATATAGTTATATTTATTATTTAATTTATATATTATTAATTATAATTATTTATATTTATTTTTTATAGTATATTTATTTTTAATACTGATAATAATATTTCATTTTACTAATTAAATTTTAAAGAACTGTAATTTAAAGATTGTTTTAAATATAAAAATATATTAAGAATAATAATTTTTTAAAAACAAAATAATATTATTAAAAATAAATATATTATAAATATTTAAAAATAATCATATTAATATATATTTTAATTTTATTAAAAATTAATAATTTATAAATAATATATATATTATAATTTATATACAAAATAATTCTTATATAATACAAAAAAATTAAAAAAATAAAAAACATAAATAAAATAATATTTTTTATTTTTTATAATAATTAAATAATTTAAAAAAAAAAAAAAATATTAAAATATTTTTAAAATAATAGCTTTAAAAATTTAATAAAAAAAAAAGAAAAGTTTAATTTATCATTATAATCTTTAATTATTTTACTCTAAAATTAATTACTATTAATTATTAACTTATTAGCTTAAACTTTACACACTATATCCATTATTTTAATTCATATTATTAATATCATTAGAATGAAAATATTTTTTATATTTTATAGGGTTAATAGCTAAATCTAAATGAGTAGGCGAAACCTCTTAATTAATAACTAGTTATTAATCTTATTATTAAAATTGTTCATCTTCGGCATTAGATTATTTAGATTTGAATTCTTTATTTTCTTTATCTTATGATATTGTTTTAAAAGTAATCATTTAATCTTATTCAAATTTTCTGAAAATATTAGAATCTAGCATTTCCATTAATTTAATATCAATATGGCTTTTTTTTTTTTTATTTTTATAAATTTCATTAAAAGCATCTTAAGCTTCATTCACTTTAGTTACTATACTTCTTTTATCCTCAAATAAAATTCCTATTTATTGATCAAAATCTAACTTTTGAATTGTTTATTAATTAATAATTGGTTTTGGTATATATTCAAATAGTTTTTTTTAATTTTTATCTAAAAGCAAATATTTAAGCTTTTCAATTTCAATCAATTTATTTACAATATAAAATATGTCAATAAAATTATATAATTTCGACATACTATAGTCCATAATTTTTTATTTTTTAGTTTTACAACATTTAAAATACTTAAAATAATTTAATATTTAATCGAAAAATTTAATTTATATTTCTTTAAAATTCGTCTTAAATAATTAATTTATTTCTTATTAATATTTCATTTATTTTCCCTCATTTTCTCCATTTTTTTTTCTTAAAAAAGAAAACCAAACTGAT